CAGCCTCCCCAGCTTGGGGAGCAGCCAGAGGGACCTGCCAGTAACTGCTGGGCTACGTGCAGGTGGGTCACAGGGCAAACGAGGGATCTCAGGCTGGGCTTGGAGACCCCCAAAAGTTTACAGAGGCGCCTGTGTTCTCAAAAGACAGGCCAGACACATGCTGAGCCCATAAGGTCTCCACCCAGGACTCTTCTAGGCTCTTCCAAGAAACACGCTCAGGGAGGCACTGGGTTGAGGTCACTGGGTGCAGCCTGCACGCTGGGGTTTCATGGTAGGTTTGGAGGGATCAACTCGTCTTTTTTTTTTTTTAAGATGGGTTTGGTTTTCTTTGAAATAAAAACTTAGTAACTGGATTCCACAGCCTTCAATCCAAGCAAAGGGCTGACAATGTTGATCGTACTGTCCCCAGGGTTTCTCCCCCGAGGACATTGCTAGGAGGGGGGTGGAGGCACTTTTTAATCCCCAGTTGAAAGAGGCCAACTTCAGAGAGTGGTTGGGAACCCCTACGCACTACCACGCAGCCCTGTGCGGGCCATCGTCACCCACACGCCACTTACCCTAGGCTTGGAGGGAGAGGACCAAAGGGAAGTTCTGCAGGGCACAGAGAAGTGGAGAGAGTCCTGGCCTGTGACCCACTCCCCTACTGACTTCAAAAGGAAGGTTCTCTGGTGGAGGAGAGGGTGGAGCGAGGGAAGCAGGGAGAACCCAGCATCCCATGGGCGGCAGCCATCTAGGGTCTGACTCATGGCTGGGCGGGAGGGCTGCTACGGACACACACAAAGGCAGCCGTCCATAATCCAATGACCCTGACTCCCCTAGGTGTGCAGATCGCTGGCATGGCAAATTCAGCCAAAGCCTGGGGAGTGGGTGATGGTCTTGAGCTGGGTTCCTCGAGGGAAAACCTGACATGAGGAATTTTGTGCAGGGAAAAGAGGACATGCTCACAGGAGAAAGGGAATGAAGGGAGCAGCACAGTGCAGGAGAAGCAGGGGACATCTGAGTCCCCAGAGGTTGGAACAGTGAGATGGGATAAAGGAAGCTTTGAAAAGCAACACCACCTGAGTTTTCGACCCCTAGGGAGTCACCATTACACTAAAGACCCCGAAGTCTACCTCCTTGTATTCCTCTCCAAGCCGCGGTGGGAAAAACCCTGTCTCCTGCAGTCATCCCAGGAGGGTCCCAGCCAGACTAAGTGGCTGGGAATAGGGTTGAATAAAGAAAGCTCAGACTTCAGAGCATCACTCCCTCCTGGTTTTCTACAACCTCAAAGGTGGCTTCTTCTGTCTCTTTGGTGTGTTTCTCATTTCCCAGGGGGTCCCAGGGCTCTGTCCTTGGTAACATCCCCCCCTCCTTTTTTTTGCTTCTCAATATACACAAACCACCTGAGGACTCGGTCCAGCCTCGTGGCTCTAAAGACCACATTTAGTAGGGGGAGCTTTGGCTCTCCTCCTGGACCCCTTCAGGGCCAGTCACCCCCACCTCCCACCCTGCCTGTTGGCTGCCAGGAACCCGCAGTCACCTTTCCAGAGAACTGCCCTCCTGACCAAGCTCTCTGCCTTCAAAGGTACACCCTGCCCCTGAAAGGACCTCCTACAGCCAACACCTGACTGATGAAGGCTGTCACGAGTTTCTCTGACAGGAACCCCCACAAAAAACCACATGCGTTCGGACCCCTGACTCAGGCTCTGCTAACAACCTGAGAAAACTCCAGTTTCACTTGCAGCCTGCACCCGCCCACCCATCCTCCCCACTTCAGTAAACGGCAACTCCACCCTTCCCAAAACCTCGAGGTTGCCATCAGCCCGTCTCTTTTCTCTTACACTCTACATCCAATCTGTCAGCAAACCCCATCGGCCCTGCTTGCAAAATAAATCCGCAATCCGACCCCTTCTCCGCACCTCCCCTGCGGAGTCCGCAGCCGCATCCCCCTTGCCTGGGATTTTGCAGTCGTCCCCTCACCGGTCTTCCTGTTTCTATGCTTGCTCACTGGCAGGTTTCTCACGAGCTGGCAGCCGGCCTGATCCTTGTAAAATGTAAGTCAGCTGAGGTTCGGGTCTGCTTCACGGCTCCTGCCCCACTCAGAGTAGAACGGCCTTACACGGGCCCACGGGGCTGAGCCACCTGCCCTCACTTACGGCTGATGCTGTCCTCAAACGGGACTGACCGACCACTGTGGGGCTCTGGAGATGCCAAAGGGTCTGGCGAAAGCCACCTTTCTGTCCTCCACACTGCCCACCCAACTTCTTTTCCAACGGGTGCCACAGAGGGTGCAGGGCAGACCACATGCAGACGTTTTATTTAGCCTCTGTCCTCACCGTCCTTGCTGGATCGGGGTGGGGAGAAAGGATACCAAAATCTGGAAAAGCAGAAAGGCTTGAGGAGGCTTTTATAATTACCATCTTGGAGAGAAATTTTTCTTATTTAAAATATACTGATTTTCTGGAAACAAACGAACAAAACCCCAACCGTGAAAAGCTGTCCTTCTAACCAAAGTGGTCAGAAAGGCAGGTATGACCATGGAGAAAGCGAGTGTGCGGCAGGGAGGCGGGGGGACTCGGGGACGCAGGCTCACCCCTCGTCAGACGGAGCGAGAGACGGAGCTTCACTTTCACTCCGCAGAGCAGAGAGAAGGCTCTGAGGTATCAACAACTTGGGCTACGGGGAAAGGGAAGAGTCTGTGTTTCCTGAACGTGGAGGGGAGGTGTCTCTGGCTGCGGGGCACTAGCTGGGCTCCTCCAGCTCCAAGAGGTCATCCAGGTATTCCACAACCTCTCCCTGTAAGAGACAACGAGGCACCTCGGTTAAGTGGGCTCCCTGGCCTTAAAAGGCTGATGAGCAGAGACTGTTTCCAGGAATGTACTGCCTGCGCCTGGGGGCTGGAGCAGCCTTTCCCCAGCCCGTCGGGCCAACAGGCTCTGACTTCTGGGAGGGGCCTGGCTTCCCTTCCATGTGAGCTTGGAGTCCAGTGCTCCGAGACCCCCACAGATGGCCCGGGTGACAGGGGCGGTCCAGCACCCTCTGAAAGACCCTGTTTAGTGCCCCTTCCTCTGCGCACCCCTCCCTCGTCCTACACCCCCTCCCATCAGCAGTGACGCCACAGGAAGGCTTTCTGTCTGTTCCCTTTCTGCCTTCATCACCAGACCATGAGCTTTTCCAGGAGAAGGACCTGGGTTCCGGTTTTCCCCCAGAGCCTGGCACACACAGGTCTCAGTCAAACTGCCAGAAGTGAATGACAGCGTGTACTTGTGCACACAGCTGGTGTCAATGAAGCAGCCACTCCACTCAAATGAGAGACGCTGGGGGACAGGGACCCACTCGCCCACTGTCGGCACAGGAGCCCAGCAGCTCCCTCCTTCTGCAACCAGCCTTAAGCCTCTACCTGGAACAGCCCAGCGTGCTCTCTGATTTCCTTCTCTGCGATGATGTCTCTCCCCCGACACACCTGAGCCACCAGCTGATGACACAGCTTCCCTTGACTGCAGGGAATGAGTGAGCCACCAAAGAAGCCGAGCCCCTCCGATGGTGACCACCCTCTGCCAAAGCCTGGCCTCCCTCACAGAGGCGTCCATCCCTGGCCAAGAGCTTCTCTGCTCCTTTTGATATCTGAACACAGAGAGACTCATAAAATCGCTCAGCATCTGAAAATAGTTTAAAAAATCGATCCAGTACATGAAACACAAAATGGATCGTATTATTTTCATCAAATACCTCTACCACATCACGCCTGAGATGAGGCACTCAAGGTATGGGAGTGGAAGACGACAGCTTGAAAGCCCAAAGTTCTTCAGTTGCTTTCTGGGCCCAGAAAGGAAAATACCATGTGGCAGAGGGATGTCGTGTGTGGCCGTGACGTCTGTTCCCAGAGTTACTGTTTTCTGCCATGTGGTTGCTGGGACCTGGGGACGATGGTCCTGTTTGCTGCTAGCTCACTAGCAAGTGTCCACGGCCACAGACATGAAAGAAACACATGGCCCTAGAAGGCCCGTGGGGCGGAGGCCGTTGGTACCTCGCTCAGATCTGCTCTCCTGACACCCATCCCCCAGGTGCAGGGGAGTCTCGTGGCTGAAAGCTGCCTTTTCTTTCCATGATTGAACTTGGCCTCAGGGAGTGGCCCCACCAGGGGGCTGCTGCTGCCAGCAACCAACAGGAGACTGATAGGACCGATGGCAGAAGACAGGGAGAGCCTGGTGGCACAATTCACACTCCAGCGCTCCCCACGGGATCCGGCTAACCTGGCTGCCGCTGAAACCACATGTCTACCTGGCTCCTTCCCCCGCCCCTCACTTCCTTTCTTCCTGGGGAGCATGCCCTGAATAAATCACCCCAGCAAATTATAATCTAAGAAATTTAAACTTTCCCAAAGCAAACAATGATCAGAACCCGAAATGTGAAGTACCTATTTCAGCTTGCTTTGTAAAATTTCTCAAACAAATATGGCCTCTGCAAAATGCTTCACCGCTGTACAGACTCTCAGGCGTTCTTACACACATTTCAACCCCAGGAAGACAAAAGGGAGGGGACCACAAGTATCAGGGGCTAAACTGTACTGAGGCTTTGCTTCAAAGTAGCATTTTGTCCTTTGGAAATTTTAAAGATTAACTAAGAATTCTGTTGTCTTGGGTATAGTTTATTTCAAATTATCATTTGCCATCATTTGATATATAATTAAAACACAGCTCATTCTTAGAGACTTTCTTTCACAATTCTAAAGCCTCAGTTAATAACCAACTACTCTTGGATTTTCCATGGAGCCCTATTATCTTGAGAGTACCAAGTCCAAGAATCCTGGTCACTATATTTTTTCCCTTTTGTTTTTTAATTTTAATTTTTGAATTGAAGTATAGTTGATTTACAATATCATATTAATTCCAGGTATACAGCATAGTGATTCAGTATTTTTACCGTTTATATTTAATTAAGTTATTATAAGTAATGGCTGTAATTCCTTGTGCCATACAACATATCCTTATTGCTTCTCTATTTTATACATAGTAGTTTGTATCTGTTAATCCCATACCCCTAATGTGCCCCTCCCTGCTCCCCCCCTCAATGGATATAATTTGTTTCCTGTAAGAATCCTAGCAGTTTTAAAGTCTGGAATAAGCCTGGTCTATTCATTAGGTGGTTACTAACCAGCCGTGTGACTTTGAGCAAGTCACTCTACCTTTCTGAGTTTGTTTCCTCATCTGTGACATAAGAGAGCTTCACTAAATCTCATAGTCTCGTCTTACTCTAATATTTGTGATTTTTTTTCTAAATACCTTGTTCTTGTATGTTAAAAGCCTTCAAAGCAGTCATTGCCAGGAATTCCATCTCTGAGAATTTATCCAAAGGAAATGATCAGTGAAGAGGTAACAGACTTAGTTACTGCTGTGATAGTTATCAAAGCAAAAAGTTGGAAGCACCCTAAATGCTAGAAAAAGAGCTTTATCTTGAAAATGCATGCTGTGGAATATTAGTCATTAAAAAGTCAACTTTATAATGAGCATTAACTAACAAGGCTAACAAAAACCACATGATCACCTCAATAGATGCAGAAAAAGCATCTGACAAAATTCAGCACCACTTCATGATAAAAACATGTGACAAACTAGGAACAGAAGAGGAACTTCCTCAACCTGATAGGCACCTACAGCTAAGAATATACTTAGTGCTGAAACAGAATGTTTTCCTTCTAAGATTGGGAACAAGGTGAGAGGGTATAGCTCAGTGGTAAAGAGCATGCTTAGCATGCATAAGGTCCTGGGTTCATTCCCTAGTACCTCCATTATATAGATAGATAGATAGACAGACAGACAGACAGGTAGGTAGGTAGGTAGATAAACAAACAAAACTAATTACCCTCCCCCTAAAAAAAGTTAAAAAAAAAGATTGGGAACAGGACAAGGATTTCCACTCTCTCTATTTGTGTTCAACATCATACTAGATGTTTTAGCCAGGGCAGTTAGCCAGAAAAATAAATAAAAGACATTCAGATTTGGAAAGAAGACACAAAGCTATGTATACTCATAGATAACATGATCTTGTATACAGAAACTCATCAGGAATCCACATACACACAGAAACATTAGAACGGATAAACAGGTTCAATTAAGTTTGCAGGATTACAATATCAATATACAAAAACCAACAGTATTTCTATATGCTAGCAATGAACAACTAGAAAATGAAAATAAGAAAAACCGTTCCATTTGCAATGGCACCAAGAATAACGGAATGAGAAAATCCTACTGAAAGAAGTTAAAGACCTCAATAAAGTAGAAAGACGTCCCACACGCATGGATCAGAATATTTAATACTGTTAAGATGTCGATACTACCCAAAGAAATCTTCGGAGTCAGCATAATTCTTATCAGAAATCCCAGCTGCCTTTTGCAGAAATTGGCAAGCTGGTCCTGTATTTCATACGGAAATGCAAGGGGCCCAGAAGAGCAAAAACAATCTAGAAACAGAAGAATGAAGCTGGAAGACTCACATTTCCCAATTTTACAATGTAGTTCAAAGTTCAGTACTCAAGACGGTGCAGTACCAGCACAAGGACAGAAATCTAGATCAATGGGATGGACTTGAGAGTCTAGAAATAAACCCTCACATTTAAGGTCAACTGACTTCCTACAAGGGTGACCAGACAATTCAATGGGGAAAGAAAGTCTTTTCAACAAATGGCACTGGGACAAATCTATATGAACATACAAAAGAATAAAACCCTACCTCACATCATATATGAAATTAAGAAAAAACAGAGTGTAGATCTAAATGCAAGTGTTAAAACTATAAAAATCTTAGGGAAAAAACATAGTAAATTTTAGTGATCTTGGATTAGACAGTAGTTTTTTAGGTCTGACACCAAAAACCCAAGCAACAAAAGAAAAAATAGATAAGCTAGATTCCACTAAAATTTAAAACTTTTGTGCTTTAAAATATCATTAAGAAAATAAAAAGACAACCCACAGATTGCAAGGAAATGTTTGTAATATATTTGACAGGGGGCTTCTAACCAGAATATATAAAGAACTCTTACAATTCAACAATAAAAAGACAAGAACCTGATTAAAAAACGGGCAAAGGATTTGAAGAGACTCAACATTTCTCCAAAGAAGATACATACATGGCTAATAAGCATATGAATAAACTCAGCATTACTAGTCAACAGACAAATGCAAGTCAAAACCACTATGAGGAACCACTTCACACCCACTAGGATGGCTATAATAAAAGACTGACACGGTAACTGATGATGAGGATGTAGCGAATTAGAACTCTCAGACATTGCTGGGGGGGATATGAAATGGTTCAGCCACTTTGGAAGACGGCCTGGCAGTTCCTCAACAAGTTGAACTTAGAGTTACCATATGACCCAGTAATTCCACTCTTGAGTGTAAGAGAATTGAAAACTTTTGCCCAAACAAAAATTTGTACAAATCATTATTCAAAGTAGCCAAAAAAAGGAAACAACCCAAATGTCCATCAACCAAGGAATAAACATGTGGTATAGCCATACAGTAGAGTATTATTCAGCAATAAAAAGAACTTTCTAGGGGGCAGCGAGTATAGCTCAGTGGTAGAGCATGTGCTTAGCATGCACGAGGTCTTGGGTTCTATCCCCAGTACCTCCATTTAAAAAAGTTTTTTAAAAAGGAATTTTTACATGCAACACAATGCATGCTATAACACAGCTAAACCTGGAAAACATTATGCTCAGTGAAAGAAGCTCATCACAAAGACCAGATACTGTTGACTTCATTCATATGAAACGTCCGAACAGACAAATCCATAGAGACAGAAAGCAGGTCGGTGCTTGCCGGGGGCTGGGGGCAGGGTTGGGATGGGCACAGGGGAAGGAACGGGAAGTGACTGCCAGTAGGTCTGGGTTTTCTTTTGCTGATGAAAATGTTCTGAAGTTTGACAGCAGTGATGGAGGCACAACTTTATGAATATACTAAAACCCACTCCATTGTACACTTTAGAAAGGAGAATTTTATGGTATGTGAATAGTATCTCAATAAAGCTATTCTAGAAAAATATAACAAGGAAAACTGCTCACACTACACTGGTAAGTGGAAAAGCCATGATATATAATTACAGTCAAGTGTATACTGAGTACATACTGGAAATGTGCAGGAAAAAAGCTGGAGGTGTGAATATCAGAATATCAATAGTAGCTGCCCTCCAGATAATCAGGGACTCTCCCTGCCCCCTTTTTCTAAATACGCTTTTTTCCTCTTTTTGAAACTGCAGCAGCCAACCTCATTTGCAACTGGCCAGCGTTTCTTTCTTTTCAGCATCCTTGCGATCTTATCTCAGGCTCTGCTTCAAGAAAACCCCACCCAAGACACACTGCACAGGTGTCACCTCCTCGTTTAGAAGCAATTACATGTGCAACGTGTTATTTCATGCTCCCAACCCTGTGTGGTCAACGTTACTAATTCCATTTTGTAGACAAAGGACTGAGGCTCAGGGGAGTTAAATGTGTGCTTGTGGTGAGTCCCTCCCAGGCAAATTTGTGCACAGAGAACAAATTCCACGATCCATCTTATCAAGAAGTGTTTCACTGAAAAGTGGAGCAGTGGAAAGAGCAGGCGTGGAGGCTCAGGGCCCCTGGGTCTGGCCCAGCAGCTCCCAGAACTTTCCTGTCCCCTACGCTCCCGTCTATGGAGTGAGGGGTCAGACCAGACCAAGCTCACAGCTCTCTTCCAGCTCCAGTGGCTGGCAAGTCCCCAACTGTCTCACAAAGCACTTTCCAGTTTGTTCCAGATGCATCTCTCTATACGCTACTCCTAACGATGGCTTTTCTGTGACGAGGCTACCCCACCACAGAGCGACTGCCCCCACCCAGCTGAGTCTCTGCCACAAAAGGAGTCAGCTGAGTAAGGCTGTATCAGGAATTTCAAGCAATCCCAGAGAGAGATAATCCCAGAGAAGGATAAAATGCCTAATTTACGAAAAGGAAAGGAAAGGAAAGATCTAACAGAAAAACTGGGATGTGGGTTTCCCAGGGTCTTTGCTGGGCTGAGTAGCTGCAAACTCACTGCATTTTTATCAGGTTAGGAGCTGACGGCTGGCTGGGAGGGATGGGCCCCCAGAAGCAGCCTCCTCCTCTGTCAGGAAACGCGGTGCTTCACCCGGGTTTCCTAGAAAGCCACACCCACCTCGGCCCCCAGGCCAGCGCTCTGACTTTGGTTAAAACGCCCACAGGAACTGTGTTTCTCCAGGTCCCTTTCTGTTTCTTATTTCCGGGACGCCTCGGCCTTCCAAGTGATTTTAGCAAAGATGTGAGTAACGTTTTCTCTTGGCCGGACGAGGGCTAAACATGAAAACTTACCTCATCGTCATCCATGATGTGTTCCTTAGCGAAGTCATACAGCTCCTTCTGGAGTGTAGTCACGTTAAAGAACTGGACGGCTTCCTGTCCAGACACAGAGAACAGTATATGACCGGCCTTTTAATGGGAGAACTGGGGCAGGGGGGAGCAGGGTATGGGATTTCTTTGGCGGGGGGGGGGGTGATGAAAAGGTTTAAAATTAAATAGTAGAAATGGCCGCCCAGCACTGTGAATATGTGGAAATTATTGAATCGTGCATTTGGAAAGCATGAATTTTACTGTATATGAATTATACCTAAATTTGAAAAAAAGAGTGGCCAACTCCCAGTGAATAAAAGAGAAAGCGTGTGTGTGTGCGCGTGTGTGTGTTTGTGCCTGCGTGTCCGCCGGGCAGGAACTTGAGGGGAGATTATGTAAGGAAAACTGGGACAGCACACAGTAATCTCAGTGAAAATACAAGTTAAGGGCCAAGATCAATTAGAAAAGATCTTCTAAAAGTACATCTTATCCATGGACTTCCCTGACAACACTTGCAAAGCTGAGTTAGTCCATCAAGGGAATTAAATTTATCCATCCATAAACAAGCCTGCAAGGAAGATGACCAAAAAAAAAAAAAGGAAAGAAAGAAAAAAGAAAAAAAGATCAAGCAGGTATATGGGTGTGTTGAGGAAAACGTTCATGATGAATTATTGAGACAAAGCAAGTCGCAAAACAGCTTGTAAAGTACGATCCTGTTTTTGTAAAACTAAACAAATACATGCCGTACACATGGTCATTGCATAGCTACATGTCAGTATGAGAAAGAGAAATACATGGGATTATGAAGGAAGCTCACTTCCTAAGTGAAATATTTCTGCAAAGTTTTTACTGATTGAGAAATGTGAATAAAGCAATAAAATGTTAAAAGAGAAAAGAAAAAAAAACCTACAGAAAGAAAAAATTTGAGTCTCCCCTCATTTTGGAAATAACCCTTCTCCTAAGGAGCAGAGCAGTCTCCCGGAGGTGGGAGGAAGGGGAAGGAGGCAGGCGCCAGACGCCTGGTGCCCTGGCACGTACTGGTCTGGGCTGGAAATGCTCGTCCGAGAGCCCCCACTTGTCCTGGTGGTACCGGTAATACACCAGGTTCTGCTGCATGACCTTGTCGTCGGGGTCAAAGAGCAGGTAGCTGACGGCACAGGGGGCCGCGTTCTTCAGGTCGTTCACTGGCGGCAGGAGGAGAGAGGAACAAGGAGGTCAGCCAACCAGTCACCTGCCACCCGCCCCGCAAGCGCAGCTTCCTAAAGCAAAAGGTCCCCAACAAGCAGCTTCTCCGCAGCGCCACCTCCGGGAAACCTGAGATGATGGGCATCCTGAGGTTCGTCTAGGGGATGAAGGGAAAGGAGGGAAGACGGAATGAGACAGAAGCCCCCTGGGTGTTCATTCCAGCACATTCCACTCCAGTTGACAACCCAGGAACACGACTTTTGCTAAAGCGCTGGTTGCCACGGTAACCAAATCTTAGGCATGGACAAAGCCTGCCACCTGGTGGCTATTTCCTGTAACAACAATTTAAAAACCGGTGCTTGGGCACACTCGCTATTCACTGGGCCTGCGGCGTTGTAAATAACACCTGCCCAAACCCTGTCACCTGGTGGCTATTTCCTGTAACAACAACTTTAAAACCGGTGCTTAGGGACACTTGCTAGTCTCAGGGCCTGCCCTCAAGAAATGCCCTAGGGTAGGTAATTTAGAAAGAATTCAAAACAGGGTAGCCTTTGAAAAAGTAAATTTTACTCATACTCTTTGCCTGTAATCCAGAAAGCAAAGATTTCCTGGGGGTGGGGCGGGGGAGCAGGAAAAGCTAGAAGTTTGTTTTTTCAGGTGTTTAAAAGGCTTTGCCAACGTTTCTGATATGCAGAGTGATTTTCAGAGCAAGTGAGGGATTTCAAAGGATTGACTAGTGAGTTGCCAGAGTCTGGAAGCGTCTGAAATACTTCTGAACTCCGGTGTTCCCAGGCGCACCCACCGAAACAAGCCTGCCCAGAGGTTGGGAGACCCAAGCTTCAGAGTCTATCATGAGGCTAGCTCAGGGACGTGCTAGCACGGCTTCTCATGAAAATGAAACAAAAACTATGTCTTTAGCCAACAGAAAATCTATAAACTGCGAACCCAAGATCGGCAAAGTGTTGATAAAAGTTGAGGCTGGGGGATGGGCACACTAGAGCTCATTAGACATCCTAATGTCTGTTTTTCAATTTCTACACGTTTCAAAAAAAGTATGTAATTTTTAATAATTCTCATGAAAATAAGGCTCTTCCAAGTGCAGATGAATATAAGGCAACAATTAACACTGGGGCTGGGGGAGGAGAGGTGGAGGGTGTGAAGGGGTGGTTTGCTTTCGATGTTTCTTCGTGTTTCTCCAAGATGTTTGGTTCACAGCAACAAGCCTGTACTACAAGCCCTTTAGAAAGAGAGCACCAATCAATCACTGATATTTTAAAGAGAGGGCTCTTCATAAGTAAAACCACAGCCTAGTAGAAAACTGCCCCTTCCATGCTAGAAGGCAATCAGTAAATATTTGCTGGGGACTTACTGTGAGTGAAATGCTGTCATACCACACAGAACTAGGCTCTCATCCTCTGTGCTAAATAATCCTTTACCAGACTGCTGGTGCCACAGGGACCGTGGCAAATAAAAACTCACCCCTCCCTCCATGAAAGGGGACATCTGTTAAAAAGCCACTTCGCCCTCCTGTTGATCTCAGAAACGTCCCAACCCAGGGACATTGAATTCAGGACCTTCCACTGCATCCTTAAATGAGATTTAGGCTGTCCTGAAATCAGGTTCACTGCAGAGAGAGCCCAGTTACCTTCCTCAGGAAGACCTGGTGTGAATGACAGTTTCAGAGAAACTTCTCAGGAGCAATCTTGAGTAGCAACAAAAATTAAAAATAAAATTTTTTTGGTGTGTATAGGGGTAAATAGGTTTGTTTGTTTGTTTAATGGAGGTACTGGGGATTGAACCCACGACCTGAGAACGCTAAGCATCATGCACTCTACCACTGAGCTAAACCTCCCTTCAAAGTTTTTAATTTAAAAAAAAATTTAAAAAGAGAGAGAGAGAGAAAGAAAACAATTTTTTTCCCTTTTTTAACCTTCACCAGGCAAGATTTTCAGTGTCCTGAAAAGGACAGCAGGTGGGATTAAGAGGTAGGTGGGTAGGGGACTGCTGTGGACAGAAGGGCCCCAACAAAGAACAGAGTGGCCACAGCAGGGAAGGAGGGCTGTGGAAGCCAAGCTCACATGTCACTCCTCCCAGGACATCCCTGAATCCCCAGCACTGGCCTGACTTTGCAGAGCGGCCAAGGGGAAGCCAGCCAGGCACCTGCCGGTGGGCCCAGGTATTTTTCACCAGTAGGGCAGTGTCGTTCCTGCTGCAACTGACCCTCGAAACCTCCCATGCTGGTCACTGAACCACCAAGGTATGCGCTGTTCCAGCCCCAAGGTTACAGGGAGAGGAGGGAAGCCAGAAGAGACCAGCCGTGAAGTCTGAACTCTGAACTCCTTCCTCTCTCACGCGTGTTCCCCACTGTCCACCTGGAAGGTTCTGACATAAACTCCAATGTCAGGCCAGGGGAGGACCGAGTGCAGTGAAACTCTTTTAACAGTCTGAGAAGTAAGGCTGATGAGGTGGAGGAAAGAAAAGAATGATAAAAACAACAACACTTATATAGTCTGCCTTGTGCTAGTGTGTGAATTCCCTAAGCATTCCACAGCTATCAGTGCATTTAATCCTCACGACAATCTTATGAGGTTGGGACTATTATCCCCACTTTACAGATGTGGAAGCTGAGGCTTAGAAGGATCAGGTGCCTTACCCAGACCTCCTGGATGATTACTTACACTTATAATAAGCAAACTGCAAATAATGATACATGGTAGCCACAAACTTCTCCACCGGATAGCCTCCTATAACTGGGGTGAGGTTCTCTTCGCACTGTATTTTGCATTCCAGAACTTCCACATAATGATCTGAAAGAACACACATACATTTTCAGAGTAGTGCAACCATTATTTTCTTTTTTTCATCCATTCTTTTTTTTTTTTTAATTTAAGTATAGTCAGTTATAATGTGTCAGTTTCTGGTGTACAACATCATGTCCTAGTCATGTATATACATACATGTATTCATTTTCATATTCTTTTTCTTTAAAGGTTATTATAAGATATTGAATATAATTCCTTGCACTATACAGAAGAAACTTGTTTTTTTCTTCTAATCTATTTTTATATATAGTAGCTAACATTTGCAAATCTCAAACTGCCAAATTTATCCCTTCTCACCTCCTTTCCCTGGTAAGCATAAGATTGTTCATTACTTTCTTAATACCACTTCTGTCCTGCCCCTAAACAATAAAGGTAAAAGGTAAAAATGACAAATGATAATGATAGATGATAAAATGACGAAAGTAAAATATTTGCAATGCTTATGATGAAGGGCTAAAGCCTTTCATATACAAAATTTCCTAAAATCAATAAGAAAAAGACAAATGCCTGCTAAAAAAAAAAAAGCCAGAAGGATGTTAACAGAAATTATAAAAGTGGCTAATAAAACATTATGAGAAAAGGCTTTGTAATTAAGAAATATAATCTAAAGTAATGTAAACTATTAAAAATCTGACAACACCCAGTGTGAAGGAAAGAATGGTGGGACTCAAACTCTGATTCTGATGGTAGGAAAAAATGGGAACAAATTTTTTGAAGAGCAACTTGGCAAAATTTTTCCAAGGTTAAAACACACATGTCGTCTGACTCAGTCGTCTACTTGTGGGAAAATTTTCTTTAGACCTAGGGACACATAGCAAACAAGCTTGGAAGTAACCTAAGTTTCCATCACTAGGATGGTGATTAATAAATGATGGTACATGTGAACAAGAGAATCCACACAGCCTTTAATTTTTCCTTTTCTTATTTGCAGGGTGGGTAATTAGGTTTATTTATTTGGTTTTTCAGTGGAGGTACTGGGGATTGAACCCACGACCTCGTGCATGCTAAGCATGTGCTCTACCACTTGAGCTATACCCTCCCCCCTTATACAGCCTTTAAAAGAGAGTAGGTGGGTGGGAATAGAGTAACAGAGAAAGATGTCAAAGACTACATTTCCCAGCCTCCTTTGCAGTTAGGTTGGGGCCGTAGGACCAGCTGAGCCAATGAGATGTAGGATATCCATTATTCTTTTTTTGTATTAAGTCTACACAGTCCAGTGTCTACATTACACTCACAGCACATCTCAGTCTGGACCAGTGTCACTCAAGTGCTCACTAGCCATGACTGGCCGATGGTTCCCTGCCATGCTGGATGGCACAGAGGGAAGGACTACAGACGTACAAAGACATCCTAAACATCCCTCAGAAGTATTGTTAGCATTTGTGTTGGTGTGATATGCTTGAAACCGTTTTAGGTAAGGTAAGAAAAGCACATAAGGAAATATGCTATGTGTTTGAGGAGTCAGATTTTCACTGCATAAAAAAAGTATACAAATAAAAAGTCAAAGAATCTAAGAAATATCCTGCAATTTTAAGTTTGCTCAGTTTGGACTGTAAATAGTGACAGGAGCTCAAATGTGGATATGTGACTGATAAATTCCTGTCGCTATTTGCAATTCAAACTTAAATATATGCAGGTACGAGGTTGGTGAGGTACTGCCTGGATCCCCCACTGCGTGGTCGTCTTGGGCTGGTGCCTCCCCCAGCTGAAGGCCACTGCCTCTCCCAGGGTGCAGCCTTTGGGAGACACCTTCCGCCTGGCTGTTTCTCCTTCCTCCCCTCAGCCTGGGAGATAACAGCTCAGCCAGCAGCACTGGTGTCACCCTCCACCCACACTTCTGTAAATAACTCCTTCTTTTATTGGGGGTGGGAGGTTAGGTTTATTTATTTATTTATTTATTTATTTATTTATTTATTTATTTATTTTTAGAGGAGGTACTGGGGATTGAACCCAGGATCTTGTGCATGCTAAGCACACACTCTCCCCCTGAGCTATCCTTTCCCTGTAAATAACTCCTGCTTGAGCTACCTCGATGGATGTGCACCGTCTATCTCTGGTCAGGACTCTGACTGACACAGAAGGAGACGTATTTTTCACAGTCTATTCCTTTATGTCTTTCACATCCTATACTATGTGCATACATTAACTCTCAGAAATAAAGTTTGAGATTAAGTACAATGTACCCCCGCGCAGGTGAGACACCATTTCATTGGAATTAAGAGGTGAGGCTGGGTGGCAGGGGAGGGTATAGCTCAGGGGTAGAGTGCCTGCTTAGCATGCATGAGGTTCTGGGTTCAACCCCCAGTACCTCCATTGAAAAAAAAGAGGTAGGACTGGAGTCAGAACACCTGGGTTCAAATACCAGCTCTTCCCCCAAGGACACAAAGGACAAGCCTTAACTCACTATGCCTCAGCTTTCTCAGCTGTAAAATGGGAGAATGCCAGCACCTTTCTCATAGGGTTAGAAAACTGAGATAATACACAAAAAGAACACAGAACAAAGCCTGGTCTCTAGTCAGAGCTTACCTAATGTTACCTTTGCTAATAAATATTTTTTTAATCTACAGCTGAAATACGGCAGCTCCAAGCAAGCAGCCTGTGGCCGGCTTCCCTCTATTGTGAGTACCAGAACTCCTGACACCAGAGCGTGAAGGGAGGCTGCAGGAGCACTGGCCAAGGCATGTGGTGTGAGGTCCAGGCATGAGCACTGGCAGCTGCCAGCACCACAGAGACAGGCAGCCAGACATTCTCGCCTCCTGATAGGAGAACCCAGCACCAGCTAGGAAGTAGTCCTGCTCCCCCGCAACAAAAAAAGAATCAAACCTGAGTCGGATCAAGCTTCTACACCCAACTACCAAGTCATAAGAAATACAGAAGGCAGAAGACTAGGGGATACGGTCAGCAAAATCCAGGCCCTGGGACCCTCTATAGGATAAACAGCAGTTTCTTCAATAGTGAGGGGGAAAAAGACATGGCAGAAGAACCTATAGACTAAAAGAGATTGAAAAGACAAGCAATTTGCTATAATAGGGATGGAACTTGAGGATATTATGCTAAATGAAATAAGCCAGTCACAAAAAGACCAATACTAAGGTCCTACTGTAGAGCACAGGGAACTACATTCAACTATAATGGAAAAGAGTATGAAAAGGAATATATGTATGTTTATGTATCACTGAATCAAATCACTATGCTGTGCACCAGAAATTAACACAACATTGTAAACCGACTATACTTCAAATTTAAAGAAAGAAAAGACCAATCCTGTATGATTCTGCTTGTATGAGGCAGCCAGAGGAGTCAAAATCAGAGAGACAGAAAGGAGAACGGTGGTTGCCAGGCAGGGGTGGGGGGAGGGGAGTGAGCAGCTGGTGTTTAACAGGGTCAGAGTTTCAGTTTGGGAAGATGAGAAAGTTCTGAAGATGGATGGTGGCGATGGCTGCACAGTGATGTGAATGTACTTAGTGCCACTGAACTGTACACTTACAGATGCTTAAAACAGTCACATTTTTGTTAAAAATAAAACCTTAAAAAGATAACCAAGTGCAATATGTGGACCTTCCTTTGAACCTGATTCAAACGAACAAATAGTAAATTACAGCACACGCACACGTTTATGACATTTCTGAGACAAATGGGACACTGGATACTTGATAAAGAGATCAAGGAACTATTGTTAAAATTCTTTTAGGTGTAATAGTTTGGTGGTTATGTTGGAGGGAAAAAAAAAGAGTCCTTATCTTTTAGAGGTACCACAACTGAACCACCACAGATGAAGTGATACAACACTGGGATTTGCTTTGTGATGTGGGTGGGAATGAGAGGACGCCCAGGTGGCCTTCTAACTTTACATGTGCTGGAAAGTTGCCGCAATCAAATTATCTCAGTAATGTGAGGCATGCATTGCTTAGGGGCCCATTTTTATTTCTCCAAAAGCCTGTGGGCATCTGTGATCAAGCAGGGCTGACGAGGCGGATCTCTTCTGCAGGTCTGTGCCTGAACGCCACACCCACTGTTTCTCCAGAAGCCCCTGCCAAGTCAGAGGCTGATCAAGGCAGGTCTCAGCCACCCTGGTTACCCATTCATACTGAAGCTCAAAAGTCCCTCAAAAGCCACTCAAGTCACCCAGCAGGCATGGGGCTCCCACAGAGGCAGATGCCCCATGTATCCAGGATACCGCCCACCACTACCTGCTATGGAGAGATAGAAATCCTTGAAGTCCTTGATCTCCCTGGAGCCCTCGCAGGCGGCGAGACACTCATGAAAGGTCTTGAAGAAGTCGGGGAGGGCCAGCTCCATGTCCGTGATGCACGTCCTCCAGTTCTCACCGTTGTAGGCTCGCACGGCTCGGATGAACAGGCTCTGGAAAGCAGAGAGAAGCCGAGCAAACTCCAGACGTGAAGGGAGATGGATTTGGAGTCAGACCTCGTGGAGCTCCACTCCCATTAGTTCTGCAGAAACCAGGCTCACCCTTAATTCAACAGGAAGCCAGTCGGTGACTTCTTCACGTCTAGATTTTTCTGCCCTGTTCACAGGGGTACACTCCTCGCTTCACCGAATTCAAAAAGTAGGGGAGGGTATAGCTCAGCCTGGCACACACGAGGTCCCGGGTTCAATCCCCAGAAGTAATAAATAGATAAACCTAATTACCTACCCCCTGAAAAAAAATTAAATCAAAAAGTAGCAAGCCCTTGATAATAAAACCAAGGTTAATGGGGGGAGGTGATTTTAGGTTTCTTTACTTGTTTTTTTAAAATTTTTTTAAACAGAGGTAATGGGAATTGAACCCAGGACCTCGTGCATGCTAGGGATACACTCTACCACAGAGCTCTACCCTCCCCCTAAAATCAAGCTTGAATCGAGGAAAAGAGAAAACCATCGTGACAAATTGGAGCAGTGGGTGCCAGGGGCTGGGGCTGGGGCAAAGGCTCGACTGTATGAGGGAACTTTCTAGCGAAGGAGAATGTTTTCTAAGTCATGAATATAGGGGTAGTTACATGACTGCCTGCTGTATTTGTCAAAACTCACTGAATTACACACTTAAAATTGGTAAACAGGTTTTAAATAAAGCATACTTCATAAGGGGGATTTTTAAAAATCAGGTCAAGAAAAAGGTGCAAGCTTACGAGCAGGTCTGGACACCCACCCCCTAACAGCGAAGCAGAAACCAGGAGTACCGTGCATCCCGGGGCGGGTGGCCACGTGCCAGACTCAGGAAACTTCCAGGAATTCCTGCTAATTGTCGACTAGACCAGGTAAAAGGAATAACTCGGGCTGAGGAAGCAGCTTGGTCTCACAAGAAATCAGTAGGGATCTTGGACACATGCAAATGCCTGCTAACTTGGAGGAGACAGGACAGGTCTTGAAATAAGCATGAGGCTCTCCATGCGGAGTTTTGTTTCCAGCTGCTCTGGATTTGGGGTCTTGGAGGGCTACCCCTTGGACCTGGAATTTTCACCAAATTTAAGGCCTCAGGTAAAGAGGGTGGATCTCCTTACACCTCCCGGGCAGGTGGCACCCTGGGAAACAGTCAGGGGCCTCACCCGGAGACGGGATAAGGGAGCAGCAACTGCAGGCCACTGGCTCTGCGGAAGCAGCGGGGAGGCAGCGGCGCAAGGAAGCCGTGCGGAGAGGGGGCCCTGGGCACGGGGCCGGGGGACAGGCCCGCCACGCCCGGCAGGACTCCAAGGAGGGCAGGCGGCCAGCTGTCTGCAG